GGGAGAGAAAGAGGCAGCTATGAGGGTGAACAGCTTGAAGGAGAAACAGGTCCCTGCAACATAGAGGGGTTTTGCTGTGTGAGTGTGCCTTCAAACAGGAAAATCTCCATGGATCAGCCACTCCACTAGTTCAGTGGGGTGGTGACTGCCTTGGAGAGCCTGAACTCTCAGCAATTTCCATAAGGAAATTAATCTTCAGCACTTTTTTGTGAGACTCGAGGACATGGATGGACCATGGGGACTGTGTATGGAAGTGATCTGGGTTTGGTTTCTAATTATTTGTGTGTGTGTGTGTGCATATGTTGCTGAAAGCTACAATAACACCTAAACCTAAAGAAATATAAAGAGAATCAGTGTCTGCCTAAGTTAGGCAGCAATAGCAAAGACTGGGTTCTCTGCTACTTGCTGTGAACTGCAAATGCTTACCAACTGCAACAGCAGAGAGGAGGGAAATGGGGGAGGAGGGAGAATGCAGGCACACAGCCTCTGTCCTTGCTTGGCCAAACCCCTCCAATAACTCCTCAGTCATGGCAGCCTTCATGGATAGCTGCACACCTGTGTAAAGGTCTCTTGCTCAAGTTATTTCTGAAACTCAAGTAACTCTGCAAATGGGTGAAACGACTGGCTATGGGACTTTCTGGAGACTAGCAATGCCTTCTGCATACAGATGCGGCTGGAGATACAGCCTGTAGAAACCTTTAGGACCACAGAAGTAGGTGGTCCTAAGCCTTCTGCTTCCTGAGCTGTTCCCTCACGTGGCACATTATGAATTATGTTTTACAAAAATAAAAGCTGTGATGAACAAGTGATCTGGGCAATGGTGGATCTGTGCAGAAGTGCCAAGCATGCAACAATGCAACCAGAAAAAAAAACAGCTTTATCCACCTGAACTAAGGAGGAAGAAGAAGACTTGACTGATGGCAGAATGATGTTGAGCAGGCTTGTGAAAAATCCTGCACAGCTTTTTCTGGTTTTTCAGCTTCTGAAGGCTGATTCCAATCTCTGCAAGTTCCCTACCCGGGATGCCAGGGGAGGGTGAGGAAGGGATGGATGGAGTCCACGACAGAAATGCTGGTGAACTGGTTCACGTGGCTGAGGCTTGTAAAGAAATCCTGTTCATTTTCAGCTGTTTGGAATGCTGCCTGAAGGTATGGATGTATGTGGTCTTCAGAGCAGGCGATATGCATAGATGCATAAAAACTGCTGGACTAAGACAGGATGAAGAAAAAAATTCTCCAGGTGGAAGCTGTGTGGTTTGTTTGCAGATTTGTTCTGTGTATTTCTTCTCTGTAGGTGTGAATATTCACAGTTCTCTACTTGCAAAAAAAAAGCATGTTTCCATTCTCCGACAGATTTACCAACTGTATTTTTAGATCATTAATTTATTGTAATATTCCCAGCTCTGAGAAATCAGAGTCCTGCTGAGAAACATCCTTTGTTCATACTTGACAGAGCAGCGTGGCCATCAAGCCAACAAGAATCCCAAACCCTCGGCTGCTCCCCTCCCGTACACACACAAACATGTCTTTCACATTCTTGAATGTTTGTGGCTGGCAGTACTGAAGGTCTCTGTTCCTTCAGGCAATGGGGCAATGTGGGCTACTTTTCTGTACTCTGCGCCTTGCCCCCATTTTTCCAACAGGCTTTCCTACCCCTCCTTCCTTTCCCCTCACTTCTTCTTCTGCATAAGATCTCTCTGCACAGGCTCTCTCAGGCCCTATTTCTCCTTACCTTGATGGTTCGTGTATGACACACAATGCCCACTATGTGCCATGCTTGCATCTGGCTACCTCACCTCATGTCGAAAACCAGCACAAGGCTGTTGGTGGCGTTCGCTATCCTCTGACTCAGATGATTTATTTCCCATCCTGCTCACCACCCTGGCATCTTAGTTTTTCATATTCCTTACAAGAGGGACTTGTGCCAAGCAAATGTTTCTTAGGACCAAGTATGACCTAAAACTAGCTCATAAATGAAGCCTCCTTCTCCCACCCCTTGGCAGCCCTGCCCTCTTTGGCAACTGGGGAAAGCCTCTGCAACGTGTGGTATGCTGGGAACCTCCTGCAAGGACTCTCCCTGTAATCTCAGGCATCTATCTTTAGGAGATCCTGCTGCGTGAGGAGTTGAGGATGACTGCTGAGGGTTTATCCTCAACAGGAAAAAAAGGTGAGGGTGTTTCTGACTGTGTTAGCTTGCACGCGAGGTGAAATTCCAGCATAGACACGGTCATCTGCAGTTCTTGCACGTTCACTAGTTGAGATAAACTCTGCAAGAGAGCTAAGTGATGAGCAGTGAGCTGCTCTGGCTACCCAGGGCTGTTGCTGACTGTGAGTGAATGCAGGATTGAAAACCTTCCCTCTCTATTTTTCCCAAGGTAACGCTCACCTTTAGCAGGGTACCGTGGCTGGCACAGAGGCTGGAGAAGGTAAAGCCAAGCCACTTCAAATAATCCCTGCAAATAACTAGCCTAGTCTTTTTACAACTCTCTTCTGCCTCCACTGTCTGACCCTCGATGTTTAAAGCAAATTATCTCACAATATAAAAAAAAGGTGAGTAAAGCAGTTTGTGATCACCTATTTTTTCTGATCTAAACTTCTGCCTGACTCTTACGAAGGACGAGGGAAAGAACAAGTTACCTGATATTTTTCAGACTGGTTCAACTGTATCTTATGGCTGGGTTTGTTTTTTGGTGTTTTTTTTCCTTTTCAGGTTTTACTTAACTGGAGACTTTCCCTGTTTAATAACCATCATGTGTGTTATTCTCCTTTCTCCAGCTCTGGTTGTTCCCATGTTCCTGTTCCTTGTGGTTCATTCTTAAGCAGCTACTAAGTTTTCTTTCAAACCATTTCCTCTCGCTGAATTAAAATATTTCCTGGTCTTTTTAGATAAGGGATTTAAATGATAGAGAGATATGTGCTCCCTGTAGCAGATGTGCTATGGGAGAAAACAGGTCCAGTTTTAAGATGTATCTGTACCCGAAGTGCATCACATAATTCCTATGAATGTTCTAGGTTTGCAAAATGTAGTTCATCTCACACTGCAGTTTGCAAATAAGACATGAGAAAATAGCTACCCTTTTTTGTTATGGAGTGAACCAAACATTCTTGTTTTAACACTCATACTATATCGAACTTTTGGGGGCATCAGGACTTGGCCAGGTCTGAGCTTCGCAGCTCCCGTTCATTTTTAATCCTTAACTCTGAAACTGTTCATCCTTCACCCTTGTGGTGAGACATGTTCTTTGAAAAGGTTATCCGGCTCACACAGAAAATGAACTCAGAGGTCTCACTGCTTTTCTCTGTCTTGGCCATTATGATCCTGTTCTTTTTGCTGTTGTTGCTGCCTTGTGCCAGCTTGGCCCAAGTCTCCCCCACTGGGCTAAATTTCTTTCCCTGCACTGCCTGCCTTCCCTTTGCTGCCAGCTGACCTTTAGCTCCGTCCAGTGGGATACCAGCTAGATGTGTCCCGTCTCCCACAGCTGCTGGACTCCTGTGTTGCAAGGAGGATGCATAAGACACTGGTATCAAGTGCTCTTTGGCACCGGCTTAGATTGTTTCCTGGTTAACAGCCAGTTTGGGAACTTGCTTAGTCCTGGTTTTGGCTTAGTTGAAAGTATCCAAGATGTTATAGCTGGTGCTTCCAATACAACCTACAGAGATGCTTGTCCTGAGTCAGACTTTCAAACTCGTAGTGATGGGAAAGCGGGCAAAAGGAATTGGCTGAAACTGTGTTCAAGCACTTCCACATGTTTAAGCACCCTGATTTAGCGCACGGTCCGGAGTGGAGCCTGACCAGGTCTGCAGTGTGCCTTCTGCTTGATTTTCGTAACCATGGAAATGCTGGGGGCAGTTTGAGATTCTCCTCTCGTCTTATGGCCAAGTCATTGCTTAGACTCTGTGGCACAAAGAATACAAAAATATTGTTTCTTGTACAGCACTGATAATTGGCTATGGCTAACAACAATTCCAGAGTTCAACAGACGTGGTTTTCTCTCTCGCTTTGTGTGCCAGTTGCCATGGTAAGCAGGAAGCACAACCCCAGCATTTTCCTAAAGGGAAATCAAAGTCATGAAGGAGGTAGGAAAGGGAGTCAGGCCCTGAGTTCAG